TGAAAGAGAAGTATAAATGTAGACTGAGAGAAAATATTAGGTGTTTGAATGAGTTTTGTATGAATGATTTAGACTTGAATACTGTGTGGGATAATATTAAGAATGGTTTGGTGGATGCAGCCACCGAAGTATGTGATGTAAGTAAGAGAACAAATGAAAGGAAAAGGAATACGTTGTGGTGGGATGATGAGGTGCGGGTGGAAGTTGAATCAAAGAAGAAAGCATGGTTAGATTTACTAGCAACTAAAACTGGTAATTCTGGTGGTATGATGAGATTGAAAAAAAAGGCAGAATTTAGACGTCTAAATAAGAGAGTAAAAGAAGTAGTTGAAAGGAAAAAGAAAGAAAGAACGGATAAGAATGATAGAAGGATATCTGATAATTTCCAGGCTAATATAAAAATGTTCTGGAAACTCGTAAGAACTGCCAGGGGAAATACAAAACAGCCTATAATTAATGCTATAAGAGACGAGAATGGATGTATTCTGAATGATGAAGTTTCGAATTTAAACAGATGGAAGGAATACTTTGAAAGCGTGTTTATGAGTGAAAAGTCGTCTGAATTAAATGAACAAGAAATTCCGAAAGAAGTGGAAAGGGGTATGGAGATAAGTGTAGATAAAATAATGAAAGCAATGAAAAGCATGAAAGCAGGTAAGGCAGCTGGATATGATAGAGTATCACTCGAGATGCTAAGGGCTGGAGAGGGAGTGGTGGCAGGCCTGCTGTACACCTTGTTTAATTTATGTTGGGAATTAAAACGGGTACCGGATGACTGGTGTAAAGCAGTTATAGTACCAATATATAAAGGAAAAGGGTCACAGCAGGACTGCAAAAACTACCGTGGTATCAGCTTGCTTAGTATTGTGGGTAAACTGTATGCTAAGGTGTTAATTGAAAGTGTTATGAAAGAAACTGATGGAAAAATTTGGGATGTGCAAGCGGGTTTTAGGAAGGGAATGGGGTGTACAGATCAAGTCTTTTCCATGCGCATGATTGCGGAGAAGTTTTTGGCTAAAAACCAGAAAGTTTTTTGTGCGTTCATGGACTTGGAAAAGGCTTATGACAGAGTGGACAGGAATGTGTTATGGAAAACACTGAACTCATATGGGTTGAGCGCTGGTTTGATACAGGGATTGAGATCTCTTTATAGGGATTCTAGTGCTTGTGTCAGGATCAATGGGGTCTACTCGGACTGGTTTGTCATCCGAAAGGGTGTCAAACAGGGCTGTGTGGCTTCCCCTTGGCTGTTCAATCTATTTATGGACAGGTATTTGCAAACTTTGAAAGATGAAGAATGTGGGTTAAGAATGGGCGAGTTAACCGTCAAATGCCTTTTGTATGCCGATGATCAAGTCATATTTGCGTCATCGGCGGCTGAGTTGCAAATGATGGTTACATTCATGAACTGGGCATTAAAAGAAAGGGGAATGAAAGTGAACGCAAGTAAGACGAAAGTGATGGTTTTTGAAAGAGAGGAAAGCAAAACGGTATGTGAAACAAGAATAGAAGGAGAGTTAATTGGAGCAAGTGGATGAGTTTGTGTATTTGGGATGTGTATTTAGCAGGGATGGTAGATATGATAAGGATATAGAACGACGAGTAAATGCAGGGAATAGAGTGAATGGGGCACTACACTCTATTGTGAAGAACCAGAATGTATCAAAAAAGGCACGTATGGTAATTCATAATGCTGTGTTAGTCCCTACTTTAATGTATGGTAGTGAAAGCTGGGTGTGGCAGAAGAAGCACGAAAGTGAAATAAATGGTGTAGAAATGCGGTCTTTAAGGAGTATGCTAGGGTTGAATCTGAATGACAGGATGAGAAATTGCATGATAAGAGATAAATGTGGTATGCAAGATGATGTTGTGATCAGGATTAAGAAAGGAATGCTTCGGTGGTTTGGTCATGTAGAAAGAATGAATGAGGAAAGAGTGACAAAACAAATTTATATGGCAGATGTGAATGGCAGAGTCGGGAAGGGACGCCCTAGAAAAAAGTTTATCGACCAAATTGGCGATATTTTGAAAATGGGCAACGTTAAAAGTACCCTTAACCGACGAGCATGTATGCGTAGATATATGGATGTAAAGGAGACGAAAGAAGTATGTCAGGATCGTGTCAAATGTAAGTCCGTGGTCTCTGCCTACCCCTCTGGGTGACAGGCGTGAGTGTTTATGCTATTATGATATGCTATGCTATGCCCATTTGACACTATTCGCGTTCGCACAGAGCCATATTTAAGAAGAAATTGAAATTAAAAAAAAACTTTTTGTGTTTATCTAATAAACTCAGCATACAAATATAATAAAGCCACATTAAAAATGTGTTTTAATAATAACTTATTTATATTCTGCCAATTAATAAAATTTAAAAAAATGCTTCTTAACATTTAAACATTTTTTTTATAATATGGTCCTGTGCGAGTGGAAAAGTTGACGAAAGGCGACGACCTCTTAATTAAAAACGGACCTAGTTCGGCTACTGAGGGACCACTAGTAATAATAAATCAGAATAGTGTAACACTCCACTCTTATGTAGGTACGTCAGAATTACACCTTTTTCATTTCACCGTAGTCGGTTAAGTTATGTGAACAGCCTCCTTTATAACATTTCAGTGTGTGACATAGCAAACACCATAACACACGTAACGAACTGGAACAAACACACTCGAAAATTCAAAAACTCAACAATGAATACCGGTCAAAAATCATGTGCGATTTACTTAATAAAACTTGACATACACTGGTAATTGCCTATAAATTTCGAATCAGGAACCTAGTAAACGATATCTTTGTACGTCTCACGTAGAATTCACATATACGCTGCCCGAAATTTGTGCTCTAAATTATGGAATTTACAATTGTTTACGGTCACGACTACAAATGAAAAAAATATGTGAAAACTGACATTTGACAGTAAGCCTACGGCATTGCCTCATCGAAATTAGGTAAATAATGTTGTTTAATGTTGAAAACAAAAAATCTACCCCATATCGAATCGGAATAACACACTGGATACCTTTTGGAGACAGACACAAATTAGAATTTTTTTCACTAGCATTGTATTATTGCAATAATTTATACATTATCACACGGCATCTTTATTGCTTTCAAAGTAAACTACAATTTTAAAACCATAATGCTATATTATTTTATTGTGTTACATTTTTTCGTCCCGTAAGTTGATAGGAGACAAATAAATTTTGTATGCAGCCTTATTTTGTTGATTCAAAAATATTTTTTATTTTTTATGTTTAAGCCTTTTGAATGGTATGGTTATTTCTACATTATTCTAAACTTGATTATCAATGTTTTATTAATTAATAATATTATCATACTTTTTGTTATTGTATGGTATTCGCAATCAAACATGGGCTCACTCAAAACTTTTAAAAAGTACATTTTTTACGACCTTACCCAAATAGACATAAACAGACGGAAATACAGCGCACGCATTAGTGTGTGCGCGTCAGCGTCTTGCAAACGTACACATTCAAAAAAAATGCAACAGTTTTACAAGGTGAAGGCGCATCTAACGATTTAAATCTTTGGATCATACAGGATCTTCAAAATGGCGATTTCTCACTTTCCATTTAATAAACATAACTGGTTTTTTTTTTCAGACGGGATTCTAGTAAGCCTTCGTCAGCCGTCCAGGGTAAGGGTCGAATTCAATCAATTCTCAGCATTGTCAAAATACCATGTCATATGTATATCACCGTATTACCAAGACCCTATCTCTATCTTTAAAAACAGGTCCCATTTACTTCGTTATATTCGAGTCGATTTTCCTTTCTTGGTCAGCATCTTTATGTCAGCGCGAAATTCAATTTTCTCCGTAGTTGTAATAATCTTCCGGTTTGACTTTGTTAGGAAATTACTCATAAACGAATAAGGGTATATATTGAGGCCATATAAGAGTCATAAAAATTTACATGGAACACAAAAGTTTATAGGAGCGTAATTTAACTATCATCATCATCATCATCATTACAGCCCTTCACAAGTCCACTGCTGAACATAGGCCTCCCCCAAGGAACGCCACAATGCATGATCCTGAGCCACTTGCATCCATCGACTTCCTGCATGTCTTACCAGGTCGTCACTTCATCTAGTGGGGGATCGACCTACACTACTTCCGCTCAAGAACCTTTTTTCCCCATCGGTTGTCGGTTCTTCAAACTATATAATTTAATTATACTGACTCTTTATTCTATTCAAAATGGTACACAAGAATTGGTGCCCCAGTAAGATGCTTAACAGTAAAACAGCAAAAGGTAAAATCTAAAGTCAATATTTCATGCAGGAAAGGAGTCCTACATCACCTCGAAACTTGTATGTCATCAGTATTAATATAGTGATTAATATCTGTATACTCGAGCGTACCTAACAACTCCTAGCTTTAAACAATTTAAATTATTGTACAGCACTTAATATTATTTCTAAGCCTTATTTTCAAAATCTCTAGAATATGAAAATCAGCGAGATCATAAAAAAGGAGCGATCTAACCTTAATAATAAACAACATTAACATTATATCCTGAAAAAAAAACTATTTTTTTATTTTTACTCAAAATTAAAAATATCACTTGAGCAGCGACAGAAATTCACCTCAAAGTTTATGAAGGCTAAATACTGAAAATTACTACTTGCATTTTTTATCAATGATCTGAACTTTTTTCAGACACTCATTACATACAGAAAATACATTTATTAATATAGTTTCAACATATAAATTAGTTTATATAAAAGCACATTTTACTACCACCACGAGCGCTCATTTGTCAAATCAAATATCGCGCACTTCCCTGGCTTCCTGTTACACACTTCCGTCCCTTTTCATGAAATCACTTCCACAGATTACGGGAAAGCGAGAGGAGAGATGTCACACATTAAAGATCCTACTAAGCTAACCAATTTACATCCTCAAGCTTGAAACATTTTATTATAATCTGTAAATTATAAGTAGTTTGTAGCAATAAATAATCTACGCTTACCTGACTCAAAACGGAAATATGATCAACATTATAATCGTCAGCGTTTGTTCGAACGAACCTATTGCAGAGGCACGACTTGCCCACTCCAAGCTGTCCTTTTTCCTTTTCAGTGCCTGTTGGGAGACAAATAAAAAAATATTAGTAAAATAACATTACACGCCTAGCAAAGTGGCTTTTTGTGTGGTGTGAAAGTGGCAAAACTTTTTGACTGCCTCTTTGGTATGATTGAAAGCGCGGTTTCTGATCATGATATCGGATTCGAATCCCAGGTCGGGCCAAAATCAGTTATTGGATTTTTTCTCCCAGTAGCAGCCCGGAGTCAGAAATCTGGCGGTGTATATCACCCCCATGCCTCGGAAAGTAGTTGGTCCTACGCCTGATCTCTTTACGGTGTTGTAAAATAAAAGACATTATTATTGTTTATAGTGGTAATTCTATTTACTATATAATCTTATCTCGAGGGTGAAGGGGTGTTTGCAGAGTCCACTGTAGAAGCACGGCGGTGAAGTGCGGAATGAGAGGTGACCTGACCTTCCCACGCTCTTCACAATGGGGGTGGAATCACGGGGAAGGACAGTGTTAGTATGACAATTGGCATATCTGGTGGTGCTGTATCACTGAAGCGGCAGTAGTGGGGTCACAGAGGAGAAGAGAAAATAATTATAATCTACCACTTTTCCTTCCCTCTGCAGTTGATAAAACAATTTAGTAAACAATGATAAAAATGCCAGTTAGTCTGTTCTAAAATTATATAAGCACACCTGTAAATGACCTAAAATAATGTTAGCCATTATTTGATCACCAAAATCATTACAAAGCTATTTTTAAATATTGTTAAAATTTTATCAGCTACATAATCTGCCACTACTTAATAAAAGAAGGTCGCAGTCGCAGGTACTTAATAGAAGAGGCAATTCAACTCAAGGGTCATCATTTAATGACGTATGATATTGTCATAGTAATAAACATTACAATTTTGTATTCACTAAACATTCTATATTGCTTAGGAGTAATTTTTGAGTCTGATAATTATTACATCTGTGTCTTAGACATTAATCTTTTTAAACAGTAAAGTTTCGCTGCTGTATATTATTGTTGCAATTCAAATTGCTACCAACGTAAAATAGCAGCATAATGTTGCTGTGTTTTGTATAGTCAACGGCGAGACCCAAAGACCTTCCATCTTAATCCTTAGGGGTGACAACAAATTTTAATTTTTATGCTTAATCAAGGATAAATACAGTTGTCTATGAGCATCAACACCTACTTACTATCATGTAGACTGTGTGCTCATTAACTTATTTACTTCTATAAAAAAGCTTCCAGCATGCAAACCAAATTGTTGTAAATACGAATTACGAGTTAAAACGGCAGAATAATGTTGCTGTGTTGAGAAATGTAGAGAACCAGAGACCATTTTACTGGTAATGAGGTATTCTGTTTTTGGAAGAGCGAGTGCATCGTCCAAGGCTGTCGCCCACGTCGGCCATCTTGTTTTGGGGTTTCAAGAAACCGCACATACATCGCCAAATCGCGCTATCGCCAAAACATTTCAAATTATTAGGGCGCCATCATTTCTGTACCTTCGCCTCGGATCTGGCGATTCGCTACACCAGTCTTAGTCCTCAGAGGTGACAACGCATCTGCATTTTGATACTTAATGGATGATAAATGCAGATGTCTATGGACCATATAATCAAGTGAACTATATGCTTGTTTGTCACACTTATACTATAAAGATAAATTGCCCTAATATGTTGCATTGCTGGGCGCAAGCTTGGCGTGTCACCAAGTGCGGCAACTGTGGAAAATACCCCCCCCCCCTTTGCAATCTATGGGGGAGGCCTAAGTTCAGCATTAGACTTTTGATAGATGGCTGTAATGGTAAAGGTATGAAGCATTAAGTCTCTTGAACTGATTCAGATATTGAAGGATTTTATACGTCTTTGAAAAATATTGTATTTCTCATAAAATGATGCTTTCCTCACGAAGTTTTCTTCAATGGCAAGAACTTTTAAGTCAGCAATTATAATTTCAATTTAAAACTTCAGTGGTGACAGTTGCAAATTATTGATAGTTCTACGCCAAATTTAATCCAGCCTAAGTCAAAATTTGTTAAGTAAAGGTTTAGTTTATATGACATGACCTATAAGATAGGCATTAGCTTGCATATTTTTTATTTTTTTAATATAGTAAGGGTGACAAATGAGCACATATTCCACCTGATGGTAAATGGATGATGTAGCCCATAGACATCTACATCTATCCTCAATTATGAATCAAAATGCAGATGCATTGCCACCCCTAAGGACTAAGATTGAATGCCCCATCTCCTTTCATTCCTGAAATTTTAGGGCAAAGAGGAATTCATATTCCATTGGGTATTGAACTTCACATGCGCTTGAAATTAAGATCTCAAACATTTATGTTTCAGATAATTGATAGAATCAGGCGTTACTTTGCGGAAATCCATTATAATAAATAATTTATTACTTTGCAACCTTCCGCTAACCAATTACAATGATGTGTCTTACCTGGATTGAAGAGCACCTCCCGCCCTCCCTCAATTGCATGCACTAACTCCGTCACCACTAGTCCCAGCACCACTACTCCCGGCACCACTACTTCCAACACCACTATTCCAGGTAAGACACACCATCGACGACAATACGACACGTGTTTCGCCTCTACACGAGGCATCCTCAGGTAATGTAGACTCTACGGCGACTGACCGCTAAGTACTAGTAAGACCGTCTTAGCGGTCAATTGAGGGAGGGCGGGAGGTGCTCTTCAATCCAGGTAAGACACATCATTTATTAATTGGTTAGCGGAAGGTTGCAAAGTAATAAATTATTTATTATTTATGTTTCATATTTTAACAATTTTATAATGTAACTGAGTGCACATTATAATACATTTACCAATAAGATAATTCAGAATCTATTTTAAGGCACAGAACTTATCTTACATAATAAATAATTTAAAGCAAACCTTCATACAATGCCACAGGAAGTAGAAGAATAGATAATAAACACTGATATAACAGATGACTTGTTAACAATTGGGACTACTATTTGGTATTGAATCAATCACTTGATATTTGATGCACATAGAAACATAGGCACTATATGTAATAACAGATTTTCTTTGATATAACAAGTCTGAAGGGAAATAAAAAAAATATTTGTAAAATAATTAATAATTAAGTAATTTGTTACCAAGTAATTTGTTACAATGAGGATTGGTAGATTGGTCTAACGGCGCCTCTACACGTTGGCCAACACAGTGGCGAATGTAGTGGCCAATAGCATTGGGCAATGTGTAGAGGGGGTGTTTGGGCTTCATTGGTATGTATTGGGACGATGGCCCACAAGTTGGCGCGAGATCCGTGTGGTGTCGGTTTTTTTACCAAAGATCAAAGGATTGTTGGCAGAGTTTGGTCGCCGCGTCCACACGTTGGCCGCGCGTTTAGTTTGCTACAAGCTCCCAGAGTGATTACACGCATCTGATTTAAATTTTATATTGAAGCTTTGTAGGTTGGATGCCCCAATTACCAGTCTTTTAGTGCCAATTTCAACTTTAAACATTCCTACGACTTTAATTAGCGCGATTTATTGATTAAAACTACTTTTACGGATTTTATCGCGTTTTATTTATATTAATTTTAATACCCGACGTTTCGGGTGCTTTCCAGCACCCATGGTCACGGGGGACTGAGGTGACTGACGTCCCGATGTCTAAGTTAACCCGGAGTACCTTCAGCTTTTTAATTATTGTCTTTGGTCCGATCTACGCAGAATGAACTAACTGTATTTTGAAGTCTTGCAGTGGTATGCTTGGGTTTAGTTTTAATTTTATTAATTATAGGATCCCAAGCAGGTGGTAGTACCCAGCCTCCTTCTTTATTGAAATTAGGATGTTTTTTAATTTCAATAGCCTCACGTATCATCCTTGGTAGGAATCGATGTTCTTTCGCGAGGATTTGTGGTCTATCAAATCTGATGTAATGGTTGGAGCCATCTAGAATATGATCGCAAACTGCAGACTTCCCGGAACGTTGATGCTTCACGTCAGCTATGTGTTCTTTTACGCGGGTTCTAATTGATCTCTTTGTTTGCCCTATATATGAGAGACCACAATCAAGCTTGTACACTCCTGCATCTTGTAGAGGAATATGACACTTGACGGATGGTAAGAACTGACTAATCTTCTTCGGCGGCTTGTAGAATGTTCTAATGGAAGCTCGTTTCAAGATGTAGCCAATCTTGTCTGTGACACCTCTGACATATGGTAGTATAGCAGACACACGCTCGACTGTGGCCGGCTTCACTCGGTCACTGTGACGGAGGCGCGGGACCCGAAGCTTGTTGTCGTGCAGAACCTGCTTGACGCCCACTGTGACTGTGTGTGCTGGAAAGCACCCGAAACGTCGGGTATTAAAATTAATATAAATAAAACGCGATAAAATCCGTAAAAGTAGTTTTAATCAATGTATAGTGTTCGCGTAAATATAAGAAATTATTATATAGCGCGATTTAATTATTTTTAAACATTTTTTTAATCGATAAGCTATTTATCAAAAAGAAAAACGAACATTTATTTACAATCAGATTATTACGAGAACAATTTTAAAATGAAAAAAATTAAGCACGTCGTTTATACGTGGAAGAACCATGCAGTTATATTAGAGTATTAGAAGTATAGTTGTAGCACGAATGGGTCGGCTCAACCGGGGAAGGACCACGCTCTCACAGAATATCAGCGTAAAATAGTAGCTTAATGATGCTGTGTTTCGTATAGTGAGTGTAGAGAACCAGAGACCCTTTTTAAAGGAAACGAAGCATTTCATCTTAGTCCTCACGGATGACAGCGCATCTGCATTTTGATTCGTAATCGAGGATAGATGTAGATGTCTGTGGGCCACAGTGACCACTTACCATCAGGTGAACTGTGTGCTCGTTTATCACCCTATCCTATAAAAAAAACGTCGATTTCTTATAATTTAATCGTGCAAGTTTTCGAATCATCATCATCATTACAGCTGTTCACAAGTCCACTACTGAACATCCTCCTCCACCGCCGCGCTGCCGCAAAGCATGGTCCTGAGCCAATT